AGAAAAGTTCGTTGTCATTCATAATCCTCATGGCATCAATCATGTATCAAATGAAAATATTCCGGCACGAGATGTAAGCAACCATTCAACTACTGATTTTTGTTAGAAGTATTTATAGATAATATCCATCTATTCTCTAGGCATTCTTCAAAAGTGTATCGAAAAGTCATCCACTATGGTCTAACACATCAGGAACTCAATTACTTGCATGGTCGGATTTAAAGCAATCTTGTAATCGTGTTCAGATATGTTATCTGTCTGTTCAATCTCAACAAACATTATTTGGTCATTGGTCATCGACAACTGATGGTGGTTGTTCTAATTATGCGACGTTTTATCGTAATCCATTCATTCTTCTATCTTCTGCGTCTGTAAAGAAATTGACCGTAGTTCTTGGTCATATGGTTGATCAACGACATCAACGAACAGCAGCAGATGTGAAACTGAACTATGCACAGATTGGTATCACTGTCGTTCAATTGAAATCTCATCCGATTTCTACTCATGATAATTACGAAGTTGTCTGTCAATCGAAATTTTGGAATAAACGTGAAGTGACTCTGGCCATCGATGTTGAATCGAAACAAAAACAACAATATGCAATCGTTCTGTCAACATTCTATCCAAACATTCACAGTTCATTCTGGATACAAATATTTTCCCAGCAGTCACTGGCACCATTAGAATTACGAACATGGACGAGTGCTTTTCAACAAACACCTCAAAGTCTACAAGGAGAATGGCGTAGAGAGAATGCTGGCGGCCGTAGAGTAAAATCCAGTGCAACAACGTTCAATCAAAATCCTGCATATCTTCTCACACTATCAGGTGCATCTGCTGTTCGCATCATTCTTCAGCAATTATTTGAAGCAGACACTCCACTAGCTGAGCATTATCCCATTGGTATTTATATCGTTTCAAAAACATTTGGCGAAGATCCAGCATTTGTTCGAGCTAGATCTGTGTCGAGATTAGTAAATCTAAAGAGTGAGGAAGAATATTACATCGTTCCAGCTTGTTTTGAACCGAATTCGTTTGCTAAGTTTGCAGTTGATGTTCTGTGTGACACACCATTTACGCTCGATTCTATGGAAAGAAAACTGCCGATAGCGTTGCAGTTTGAAAATAAAGTATCCACACCTCCTTCAACGACAAGAAAACCAGTGACGACAACAACAACCACCAGAAGAGATGTACCAAAAAGAACAACTATATCTCTTGCTGCCGCTCGGATGTCTACCATAGCAGATGAATATTCAAAAATGAATGATTGACTAACGACAAAAGAGTCGTTTGAGTTTGTATTTGCCTTTCATTTCCAATATGTTTTTCGATCTTGCGTCAATAAAATTGATTGAGAGTGCTATTGAATAAACGACATCATTTGTTTGACTACTGATCTGTGCATGGTACAGCTCTTCTGGATAACAGCCGTATCTCGATTTTTGTTTTCAACTTCTTTTCGGGTTTAAATCAGAATATCGTAAACAAAACCTAAATAAGAAAATTCAAAGGCGCGAACTTAGACGAGAACATGACGACAAACTGAATATCGTCCGATCGATAGCAACAAACAGTGGTTTTTCGAAGAAACAATCTGTAATTCCCATGTCGACAGAGACAGATGGTGTTTATCGAAATCAAGCACAACAGTATCATCGTGTTCAAATGATCATCTCTCAGAACTGCAATACACGAAACAGCGAACCTATGCACATGCAGTTATTGCCCATCCTTGATGGCAACGTCGCCACCCAAGACGAGTAATCCGGGCTCCGGATTCTGTCGGAAAACCTACTAAATCCGGCAGATTCCTTCAGGAATCAGATAGTCGGAAAATCCCAGAATACACAGGATCCGATAGGTTTTTACAAGCTTTTCTGATTACAATTATTTGTTTTTTATTCACTTTTTTTGAGCATTTATTTTCAATTTGTTTGCATAAAAAACAATAAAAAATTGTTTTACAATGACGAAAAATAGATGCATGAAAGACAACTGAAAGATGGACGATTCTTTTCTAAACAGAAAACAAATAAGAGTTAAAAACTTCTTACCTGGGTAACTAGAATCTCAGAAGAAGTACATATTCGGTAAATGAAGAGTTACTTACCAACACTATCTCGTCTTGCTTAGTATCTGTACAAATAAAAAGTACATACCATGAAAAAAGTTTGAATTTTTACATTATTCCCTCGACTGAAAGGAGGGTCATGCGAAAAAAAATAGTTTGTCTGTCTGTCTGTGTCAGGGTCAAGGGTCAAAGGTCAAAAAAACATTTTTTCGAAAATGCTCAAAACTGCATAAAACA